AATTTACATGATCAACCAACACCAACAATAGCACCACAAACATTTGTTGCTGATAATGAAACTATTACAAAACCACGTCATGGAGGGTACGTCTTTTTTTTTTTTGCTGAAGTGTTTTTCTTTTTACTTATTAAAAGCTTATATATGGTTGTTTTGTTGCCATGTGTGTGCAGTGTATTGATTTATTTTATACATATTTTTCTAGGGATCGTTTTCAGTATCGATCGTAAGTGCTTGCATGTTTAGTTAGCTTATTAGATAAATCTTCTTAGATAAATTAATTTATTTATTTTTCTTCATATATAAATGTATATTTGTAATTGTTTATATCTATATATAGGTTTTTGGTAAGTTTTTTGGTCGATGCTCGTGGTGGTGCAATGCGTGGTTGTCGACATTCAGGTGTACGAGTTATAATTCCACCTAAACGTGCTAGTATGCCAACGAGAATAACATGTCGATTTGTTAAACGTGAGAAATTAACGATACCACCACCATTAAATGAAGGTGAAGCATTAGCAGCACGTGTTTTGGAAGTTGGACCTGTTGCTTGTAAATTTCTTGGGTAAGACACCTACTTTTAATCAATTTCAATTTTTTTTTCAAAAGTATTAAATAAGAAGTTTCACTAACTCTTGAGTAGAGATCTGCGGGATCGGGAACTACGAGAAAAAAATTGTCCGAATCGAAATACAAGGTTATAATTTTAAATTTTATAATTTTAACTGAATCATATCAATCAGAACATATTGCAAGAGAGGTAATCCAACAAAAAAAATGCTAGCAGTACCCTATGAATAAATTCTGAAATAGTTTGCTCTAGATTGAGACTCCTGGAAAAGAAATTATCGGCATTCAAACCGAAAAAGAATTTGACTCCACACATTTGTATTCTCGAGTAAAGTTGAAAGATTGAAAACTTCGTAATTTTTGTCTAAAAATAAAACATAATTAATTTTTAGAAAAAAGTATATTTGAATAGAGACTTATGATTGAATCGGATTGAGAAAGTCTGTGGTCTATTCTATGTAGATTTGAAGACTTTATTAGAAATTAAGTTTGATAATTCCGAAATAGTAAATTGTTTATATATATATTGTATTAAATCAATAATTTATTTTAGATCTGTTATTCTTGAAATCCCACATTTTGCTTCATTACGTAATCGTGAACGTGAAATTGTTGTTTTACGAAGTGACAATGGTGAAAAATGGACTGAACATACAGGTCCAACAACAGATGAAGCAGTACGTGAAGTACTTGGTGATATTGTTGATTCTGAAGGTAAAATTTTTCTATTAATCAAAAATATTAATTTTTTTTATCATGATCTTCTTTTTTTTTTGTTTTTACAGATTTGGATAATGCTGAAGAACTTCATTCACGTCGAATAACACGTATAGTAACAAATGATTTTCCTCGTTTTTTTGCATTAATAACACGTATTCGTCAAGAAGCACATTTTATTGATGAACAAGGTGGTTTATTAATATCATCAATAATACCAACTGTTCAAGCACATATACCAGAAAAAGCCTTACAAAAACGTATTCGTATATCACTTCATGTTTTACCAATATCATCTCAATTAGTTCAACGTTCATATGGTACACGTGTTAATGTAAGTCCTGTTATAACAGTTGAACCACGTCGTCGTAAATTTCATAAACCAATAACATTAACAATTCCATTACCAAATAAATCACCAACAACAAGAAAACATTCTCATCAACAACAACATGCAAATGCATATACAAGTGATTCTCAAACATTACGTTTATTATGTAGTATAACTGGTGGTACACATTCTGCTCAATTTGATGATATTACAGGACATACACCATTAACATTTTCAAATGATTGTGCTACATTTACAACAACAGTTTCAGCTCGGTAAAAAGAAAATCATTTTATTTTTCATATCAAAATATCCTTTGTTTGTTTTTTTTTTTTTGTATAAAGATTTTGGTTAATCGATGCTCAAGGTGTACCAGATGTATTAAAATTAGCACATGAAATCTATCGTGAAGCTATATCAGTTCCATATATGTCACGTTTTATTGTATTTGCTAAACGACATGATATTAATGAAGCACTTGTTCGTTTATTTTGTATAACAGATGATAAAGAAAATAAAACACTTGAAATGCAAGAACATTTTACTGAAATTGCAAAATCAAAAGAAGTTGAAGTTGTTAATGGTAATTCAATATATATTGATTTACAATCAAATAATTTACAAACAATTATTAAAACAAATGAACAATTAACATTACTATTTCGAGCATTTAAAGAAAATCGTTTACCATGTGTTGTTCGTATTCGTGATCAAGAACAAGAACCATCAGGACGTTTAATTTTTTCAAAAGATAATGGTAAATTAACATCTATACAACGAACAACATCAATTACAATGACTAATGGACAACCATCATCATTATCATCAACAACAATTATTGATCCACAAACATTACAAACAATTTGTAATTTAAATATTATTATACCAGCTTATGATAAAGTAAAATAATATATATATATATATATCATTTATTTTTTTGTTTTGTTTTAGGATTTGCTTGAGGTAGAATTTCGTGTTTATTTCACTTTTCAAAGGTAATTTAAATATTGATTTCGATTTAGAATGAAGAACGTCTTCGAGCTTTACATTCTGTTGAACGTGATCGTCATTCTGAAAGTAAGAAAAAAAAATTATATGTGTTGTTTTTTTTTTTGTTTGTGTCATATTTAGGTTGGAAATCGGACGATATGTATCGAAAAGGTGAAATACGTTTAACTGATATTGCACGATTACTTGGAAGTGATTGGCCAGCACTTGCTGCTGAACTTGAATTAACTGAAGAAGAAGTTACAAAAATTATGGATGAATTTGGAGAAAATGCTTCATTACAAATGTTACGTTATTGGCTTAAATCACGAGGAAATGAAGCAACAGGTAATAAGAACAAAAGATTTTGTCTATCGAAAATTTTAAATTTTGTTCAGATGAAACGATGACTTGTTATGATAATCGATAAAAGAAAAGTTTATTAATATTGACCATGAATGTCTTTTAATTTTTTAATTGCTGTTGAGTCGGGATTATATGCAGCATTATGTAAAATCAAATGAACTTTGAATACAAGAAAATTCTTTTTTCAAATTTTGACTTATAACTATGTACAGAGACATGGACTTAGCGAGAGTAACTTATTGAGAAAGTTTCAATGCTTTTGATTTGTTTCATTTCGGAAATAAGAACATCGAATCAGTTGGTTTATATCATCAATGTCAAAAATACGCTATTACGATAGATATATCTTATGATAGGAATAATGATAAGATCTGAAAAATTGTTCGTTAAGAATTGTTTCTGTACAAAGTTTGAAATAGAAATTGAAAAATCAGTTTTTCTATATCATGGCATTTATTTAAAAATGTAGTATCTTGGCATTGATAAGCTAACGATCTGAACTTTTTTTCGGAATATTTATAGTTTCTTTGTATTTACATAATATGCGTAGGTTCGACTCAAAAGCGATTAATCCGTTGGGAAACTTCTGTCATAAGACTCAAGAAAATTTGTATAATGGAGAAATAAATATTCAACATTTAATGTTGTACATGAAAAATTATGGTTGAATAGGCAAATCGTTCTTATTTTTTTGCACTTTTGCTTATAATGCAATAGACAAGGCAAAATTCCAGATCAATCTTTTTAGAGGCTCCTATCCTGACGGTACATGAGATACTGACTAAAAATTTAAATTTCATAAAAAAAAATCAACTATTGATTGATTACTTCAAGCGAAAAAGTAGCACCTCATATTAATATTAAATTACTATTCATTTGTTTTTCTAGTATTTCTTCCTGTTTATTTTCTTTCGTCTATCGATAAAGAGTCGTGAGCTCGGTCTTTTTAAAAGAATCGGCAGGAAGTACTTTTATCCTCAGAGTGCTAAAAGTAATGACGGAAGGCATGAAAGAACGAGACCTCCAGTGAATCAGCACTTCCCTCAACAGACGACCTGTCAGTTGAATCTTACTTCCCCAAATGCTATTCATCTTGCAATGATATTATCTGTTTCCTTTCTGGCAAAGAAAAGCAAATGATGTTTCAAAGTTCGATTGGTATCGAAAGTTTTCACGAAACTATAAAAAATGGGTAGAAAGTTAGACATATGGATCTTGAGGACAGTTTCAACTCTTAATGAGACATGTCATTTCGAAAAAAAAGATCTTTTTCAGACACTGTCATAATATATGTAATTACTATTATTATTTTTTTTGTTGTCTAGGAAATTGTCTTCAACAAGCCTTACGTAAAATTGGAAAAGAAAATATTGTTCATAATTGTGTATTTAATATTGAATGGGTTACTGATGCAGCAGAAAAAGAATTAGCTAAAGCACGTCTCAATAGTCGAGGTGGTAGTGTTGATGGTACAGCAATTAGTGGACGACGAGTATATTTTTTATTTCCTTATTTGTTATATCTAATTGGTTTGTTTTTGTTTGTATAAAAAAATAGTTAGATGAAGGTTTTGAAAGTGATGATGAATATGAACGTCGTCGACTTGGAAAATCTAGTAAGTAAATAAATTTCTTATTGATAAATGATTTCTTACATTAAAAAATCATTATAATAAAACTAAAGATTTCTTAACTGATGATACTAATCGAATACCAACAACAACAATTATAAAAACGATAACATTTGAAGAAATAGGTGAAGATGACTTAGGAGGAAAAAAATCAAGCAATGAAAAAATAGTTTCACAATTTAAACAATTAGAACCACTTAAAATGGTTAAACGTGATCATTCCAAAGATTTTATTCCTTCATCATCATCAACATCAAGTGCAGATACAATTGTTACTGTTGCCATGAGAAAAAGTTTAGGTTCATAAATAATAATAAATGTTTCGTTTAATATTGTTGTTGTTTGCTTCTATTAAATATTGTTGTTAGTTTTTATTGTCTTTAAAAATTGTTCGTTAATATGATTGTTGTTGTTAATTTATGTTTTAAAGGTGAACGTGATGGTCCTTTACATTTTGTTGATTCAAGTAAAGCACCTACACCTGCATCACGTTATGGTGGTTATTATTCAATATATCATCCTCAGAATTATTCAGGATCAATAACACCATTAAATTATCAATCTCATCCATTTGAAATGATGCATCTTGAAAGTCTAAGAGAAAAATTAAATAGATTATCACGTGATAAAGGTTCTTTGATGTTCTTCCTGTATGATTGATGTCCCTTGAATTTGAAGCATGTTATGGTCTTTTTTTTTTCTCATTTATTTTTGCTGTGTTCTTATACTTTGTGTTCATTGTGATCAATATATAATATTGAATTGTTTTTTTTTTGGTTTAGCTGATCTCGATGATCCATATGGTACATTATCGAAGCAACGAAGTACAGATATGGATGAAGGACGAATAACGCCAAAAGCTAGTTCGGGTATGTTATTTGTTTAATTTATGATCTAATGTCATTGTCGTTCATAGTTAAAAGAATTATACTGAAAATTATTTGTAATTGTAGGCGTATTAGTTAGTTTCTCTTTCTTACTAATAAAGGTCAAAAGGAAAAGCATTTTTCTGTTCGACATAATGATTGCCATTGTATAGATGAGAAGAAGCGACAATTAACGATAATAATTAAATATTTTAATGGAACGTTAAAAGACATTTTACATTCATGGCATACATATGAACATTAAATAAAATTAAAATGTTAGAAAATATTATTAAAAAGTTTTTTATTTATGATTATAGTGAATTATCGTTTCTTTCTATTAATTCTTAGTTACTATTATTTATAATAAGAATTCTCTTATGTATCTATGTATTTCTTGTCATAAAATATTTCATGTTAGTTGCTAATAAAGAACGGAATGTCAAAAACAAAAAAGATACACATATTTGTTTTCAAATATATCAATAGATGATCGTTATAAAATAGATATAAATTATTCAAGCAGAATTTGAAAATTCTAGATGATTAAATTATATGTCATATATCGTATATTGATTAGGTTTCTCTTTGTTCGTTACAAATTTAATGTTATTGTTGTTTATGATTAACAGAATCGATAAAAATCTTTTTTTTTTTTATGACTATTCCTTAAAAGCGAAATACTGTTTATAAGTAAAAACATACAATTGTTATTTCTTCTAAGTCATCGAATAGAAAAAAAGACTAGGTCACGTATCTGATTTCTATAAATAAAATAATTATTCATATATATATATATATATATAATCCATCTTCATCTTATTATTTCCGTCGATTATCAATCTATATATGTTTGCCATTCATTTACAAGGTGAATATGAATGCACGTCATTGTTTTTATTAGTTATAAGAGCAAAAGGGAAATCTTTGCTTTATCTATCTCTCATCATCTTGCCAATATTCTTTTCTATCAAATAAAAAGAAAAGAAAAAAAAAATATAGATAGAGAAAGAGTCGGACTTGTTTTCTCCTGTAATATATTGCTGATATATATATATACAAGCAAATGCTTGATATGAATGCGCATCTGGCATAAAAGAAAAGAGATTCGTATGCTTCGACCGAGTGCTCTATAATTAGGCATCAGAATACTAATCGATTAGAGATGCCATTACTCTGTTTGAGCGGAAATCGAACATTATGTTGTGGTTTATGCAAAAAAAATAAACGACGAATTTTAAGTAAAATACAAAAAAAAATAATCATACAAACATAAAATTCGAAAAATGAAAATTAAACAAATAAAATATTATTTTAGAATTTCCATCAAAAAAATCTTCAACAAAATTAGGTGATTTTGGTATTGTTAATATTGTTCAAGAAGTAACACCAACATTACCTGATAATCAACCAAATCTAACATTAATTCAATCAGATATAAATGAAAAACCAACACCTACACAACAATTAGCTGAACAAACTGTTCAAACACTAGATGATATACGTAAGTAAAGTAAAAATGAATCCTTTAGATTTTTGTTTTTGTTTTTTTTTTCAAATCTCATTCTTTTCCAGCACCTATACGTGCTAATCAACCACCTGTAAGTGAACGTTTAATAAAGTCGAAAATAATACCCGAACCAGCACGTGCATTAGCTAATGCACTTAAACATGCTGTTGTTAGACCATTAAAAAAAACGATAATAAAGAAAAAATCTTTTGATGGAAATCTACCTGAACAACATATAACTCGTTCTCATCCACCTATTGTTCATTCATTATCTCAACCATCATCAATACTTATTGAAAATCATGATCAACAATTAAATGAAATATCGATTGATTCAAATGAATCAACAAGTGCAATTACATTAATATCACCAATTAAACCACCACGTTTAAGTGATGAATCAGGTTCATCATCATCTATTGAAGTTAGTTCACCACCACCAGCAAAACCACCAAGACATTTTTCTTTATATAAAAATGACATTGATGATAATGTAATACAAGAAACAAATGATGTTGTTAAAAAAGTTTTAAATATTGTTGATACATTTGATAATATACAACAGCAAAATAATAATGATACAAATATTTTACGACAATCATTATTAAATCCAAATCAATCAATTAATTGTAAAGTATCGGATAGTTTAAAAAATATTGACACATTTTCTGTTCAACCAATATCTATTGCAATAAATACTGATCTTCCATTAATAACAAAATCTTTTGATAATAATATAGATAAACCAATGACAATCAAATCATTTTCATTGCCTACTAAACAATCGAATAGTTTAGAGAAATCAATAAATGAAATCATTCCAATTGAAATAAGTCAATTGGCCAAAGAAGTAACAGAAAATATTTTACAAGAAGTTGAAAAACAAACAAAAGTAACAAATGTTGATTCAACTATAAATAATAACCAACAAATTTTATTTGATAAACTTTCACAATTGAAACAAGAACAAACAAATAAAAAATTTTGTGATAATACACCATCAGTTTTTCATTCTAAAATTACAACTCACATATTACCCACTCAGACTACATCACGTCCACTTGTGTTTGTTTCGTTGAGTTCTTCGTCTAATCCTACTAAAACAAATTTGCCATTACTTGATATTGTTACAACAAAACCAACACCTTTATTCACAACTTCAGTCACAGTCACGAGTCCATCAACATCTATCCTTTCATCAACAACAACAATTACTAATACTAACGAGGAATTAAATAACACATCAACATTAATCTCTAATAGTAATAAAACTTCTAATCATACAAATGTATTACAAACTAATAGTAAACCAGATAGTGTTGATTCAAATGATCCAACAACACACGATAATACAATATTTTTACCACAAAATGTTGGTAATACAACATCAATTTGTTCGTTTCTATCTGATTATGATAATTTACGTGGTTCGAACGGAAGTTTAAATTATGACAATCAACAAACACAAATCTTACCATCAATTATTCCTTCATCATCAGAAACCATGTCATCAACAGCATCGTCATCAATGACAACAATCTATCAAAGTTTTGATAATTTTCCATCATTATCATTATCATCATCAGCAACAAGTCCAACATATGTATCAGCAGTTAGTACATTTAATACAGGTGGTACAACAACACCACAACATTTAGGTTCTGATATAAGTGATGAAGAACTTGTTGAATCATTTGATAGTGAAAATTCACCTCAAGGTAGAATCTATCGCATACAAATTATACCAAGCACGAATATATTCATATATATATATATTTATATATGTACCTGGCATGTTATTAACCTTCCTTGTTTTTTTCTCTTCCTTATTCACTTCAATTCGGCATGACAAAACCAAGTTTTTGCTTTACAAAAAAAAAAAAAATGTCTTTGTTTTTGTCTTAATTCATTTTATCTATATAACATAGCTTCGACGCCTAAAATTGAAATAATTGAAGATAATAGCGAACCGATTGATGAATGCGATATGACATTTCTTACTGAAGTTCTTGCTCAATACAATCAGAGTCTTCATCATCAAGGTTTGCGTATGAAGTGTGCGCATGTTGAATGACACTTAAGAGTTTATATTAAAATATGTTATGAATATGACAATATTCTTTTGTTTATTGTTTTAGATAATTTCGGAACAACAAATGTTCAATCATCATTTGATAGAGAAGGTAAAAATCCATAAAATAAAATATTAATTATCTCATAGAATTGAGATTACGAAAAGAAAAACCTTAAATAAAAATAAATAAATTAAAAATAAAAATTTAATAAATCATTTTTCTAGCTCAAAATGAATCGAGAAATCAATAATGTAAGCAAAGATAAAGCATGGTTTTTGAGAATGGGATTATTAGAATTAATAAAACTAAACACCGCATGTAGCTAAACAAAATAAACTTTTTATATGCGCGAATACATATATATTGCATTATGTTTGTGTATATATATTAATGTTAAACATATATTCTCTAAGGAAGTATGTGTGTGATACGGTTAAAAAAAAAGCAACTGCTGTTGTTCTCTTTGCATGTTTGTTGTCCTATTGTTGTTGTATTTCTTAACATTTTTTTGTTTTTCTTTATATATCGTAATTTTCCTCCTCTTCTTCTTCTTCTTCTTCTTCATCTTCTTTTTGTTTTATCACCATTGACTTACAACTATTGAATATGTGTAAACAATAGAAAAAGAAAAGGCGTAGTGAACGATAATCAAAGTAAAAGAAAATAAAATATGAACAAAGACAAAAGACTTTTCCTTTTGAACGCTTGTCTTAGTGACTAGCTTCGCATTTTCTTTTTCTATTATTACACCTATTTCCCTTCGTTTGCTTATATATGCTTGCATGATGGCAAATGGCCGTTTTCCCTCGTTTCTTTTTTTTTCTCCATTCCACAAATGCGCGAACCGTATCACACACAGAATCCTGCTCGGGAAGAAATTCTCTCGTTTTTTTTTTTCTATATATATATCTGTTCTTTTTCCTTTTTTTGCTATTCTTTTTTTTTCCTTAAAAAAAAAAAGAGTGACATTTCTGTGTGTTAGCTAGATTTCTCTCTGTTGTTTTTTTTTTGCTCGCGTTCTGTTCCAATCTAATCCATTAAAAGAGAAATAGAAGAACTAAAAGAAATGAAGTGATTGCTAAACTACTACATATCGTTTTTTTTTCCTTGTTTTCTATTGTTTACAGCTACGCTTGCCAGCAAAGTAGAAGAATCGCCGTTATCATCATTATCATCAGCATCAGAATCATTATCATTATTAATCTCTGTTTCTTCTGCTTCTTCCTCTACTACTTTTCCTTCTTTTCCTTTTCATATCACTACTAAAACATCATCTAAACTTTCATCGAACATGCCAAATAAAACTTCCAATATAACATTTCAAAATTTTAATAATATTTCATCAACAATAACAAATCTAAACGAAGATAATCCAATAAATAATAATCAACAAGAAAAAAAAGATTCAAATATTAATTTACAGTCACCAATACATCAACGTCGTTTACCATTACCAGATAAATTAACATTTGAACAAAATATAACAAATCTTATTGAAAAAGAATCTCCATTATTACAATCAGAATTACTAACTACTGAACATGAATTATCTGTATTTCGTTCACGTTTAGCTGTTAATGAAGGTGTTACAGCTGTAACAGGTACAATACTTGAATCACTTAAAGGACACTTTGAATCGAATCATAAAACAGATAGTACAACATCACCGATTGATAAATATAAAACAAATATTCTTCAACATTCTTTGTCTATTCAAACATCACCAATTACAGAAAAATTGCCAGAATTAATTGAAATACATTATGATGCTGAATCACCTAAAAGTCCATATATACTTGTTAAAGCAGTAAATTCTTTTTGGATTGCACAACCAATAGATGATTCCGAAGTAGAAAAACGTTTAAAGAAATTCTCATCACCAGTTATGAAACGTGCTGCTATTAAACTACCGGATGCATTTCATATAGATAATTATAATTCAGATGATGAAGAAATTTTTAAAGAAAAATTAAATGAAGAAACTCTTTCATCTTTAATTCCCAAAACACCAACAAATATTGACGAAGAAAATAAACCTAATGATTTAATATCCGAAGAAAATGTAAGTTCAACAACCGTTCCACATGCACAATTAGGAGAAATGAAAAAAATACATTCATCATCATTACATCAAGATAATGATCAATTTGAAAAATTTGATGATAAAATTGATGAAATTTATTCAATTATTGATTATTTAAAACATAATAAATTCACATTAACTATTTTAAATAATCTTCATATGAAATTAAATGATTTAAAATTACTTCTTCATTATATTCATTTAAATAAACAAGATGAATTACGTATTGAATATGAATTAGATGAATTAGAAAATTCTTTTAATAAAACATCTAAACATGATGATTATGATTTTATTGAATTATTTGAACAAAACCTTCGTGAATTACAATATATTGTTCAAGAAATAAAAATTCTCAAATCTGAAGTACAAGAAAATCTTATAACACAATTCGAACCCATAAAAAATACTAATGGTAAAGATATTTTAAATAAACCATTAGTCACATCAAAAACAACATATAATCGTCTTATACCAGAAAATCCCGTTGTAACAAGTGATATCTTTTTTGAAAGGAATAAAATATTAAAACAAAAAAAAATTTCTCCAACAAATCCTACTCGTTTAATACCTGAAGATGCTCGAATAAGTGCTTCAAGTTTTTATGAAGGTGATATACATCGTTCATTATATCAACATGCAGAACCAGAAAAACAAATCGATTATACAAATAAAAAGAAAACTCTTATACCTGAAAAACCTTATATATCATTTGAAAATTTTTATGAAGGTGATCCACAACGTTCAATGTTTATTGAGCGTCCATTATTAATACATGCTGAATCTTTATCATCATCAGTATCATCACCAATATCAATTGATAATCTTCGAGCTATTATGAGTGATTTAATGCTTGTTGCATCATGGTCAAAAAAACCAACAAAAATAATAACTCAACAAACAAAACCTAATGTTGAAGTTCATGCTGAATCATTTATCACAACTGAAAAACGGCATTCTAAATTATGCGAAATTACACATGACATTGAAAGATTCCCACTATCACATCCTTCAATATTAATCGAAGAACAAGATACAACATTGCCAGAATATATAGAATTACATGAAGAACAAATTATTGAATCTTCTCAAATGCCTGAACAAGAAGAAAATTTAAATGATATGATTATTATTGAAAAACCTCTAAATGAAGATCAATCAAATCCAATATCAAATGATACTGAATTTATCATTGTATCTTCTCCATCATTCAAAGAAGACTATGAACAACAATTAATTATTAAACCTTATCCTTCTGATCATGTGGAATCAAATATCGATGAAAATATTTTAATGTCTTCACCTGTGATTGAAATTAGTACCGGACAAATCGAAAATGATTCTTTTAATAATGAACAAGAAGATATCAATGAAGAAAATTTACATGGTTTTCAATCGGTTCCGTTCTATAATGAAGATTATAGAAAATTATCGAATTCACCAGTAACATCTCATATACAACGTTCAAATATTATTTCTAAAACTATAACATCTTATCATGATGAAGAGGAAAGACAAGAAGAAGAAGATATTGAAGAAAGTAATTTTCGTCCTACACATCTTGATATATATTTTGAAGAGCAAATACAATATGAAAATCTTCTTATTGAAACATCAAATAATCTTGTTGAGCACATTTTAAATGAGGCTATTTCAGAACTAATTGAATATGAACAAAATTATTTATATTATCAAGCAGCAGTTCAAATTGTTAATGATGTTATTGAAAATATTATTCGAAACTACGATAATGAATTTAATTTAATTGAATCAACATCCATTAGTAGTAGTACAAGTAGTGATAATGAAATAAAAGAAGAAAATGATGAATATAATGATGAATATTTATCGTCATCTGATGACGAAGAAAATGAGAAACTAATTCCACAAATATCTGATCAACCATATTTATTTGTTTCTGATGTAATTACATCAAAATCAACTCAAGAACTTGGTAATCTTATACAAGAATTACAAACACTTGAACATAAAATTGATCATATTCATTCATTATCATCATCATCATCTTCATCATCATCAAGTTTATCAGACAATGATCAAATACAATCATATGACATATCTATTCCTCAAGTAGTTAAAACAAAATCAATTAATGAATTAACAAATCTTGTTACTGAATTAGAACATATTGAAGAAGAACTTGAAGATAAACTTGATGAACCATTAAATATAGATAAATCACCAATATCATCAAAATCATTTAATGAACTTGGTGGTTTAATTAATGAATTAAACGATGTTTCAAAACAATTAAATAATCGTATACATGAAGAAATCTTTACCTCAACAAATATTGAATCATTATCACAAGATATAGTTAAATATCGTCGTGATTCACAATCAAATGGAACTATTCCTAGTGCACATAAAAAAGAACAACAATCATTAAATTCAACAATATATGAACAAGATTTTGAGAGTATAAAACCAACATTAACTAATGGTGTTGATCAAATTTATGATCAATTACAAAAAGAACAAATTGAAAATCAAGTTGTAAAAGTTTTGGTTGATAATATTCTTAAAGAAGCACTAGCTATTATGTTATTCGAGGTAAATCTTATTGAAGATAGAATCTTAAAATTTCAATATCTTAATCTGTGTACATCAAGTTAAACCTATATTTTAAATATGTTAGTCTAGCGGTGAAAGCTATTGTTTGACACAAATATGTTTAGTGTTATCAAACCTTCTACTTGAAAAACATATCCTTTTTTTTTTTGATCACATATTTCAGAACTCTCAAAGAAACTTCATTGTCGCCAATAGCTTTTTTTCGTTTGAACGACTACGTCAGCATGTAGAGCATGTCAGAACCGAGTTTTTTAATTAATCTTTGCTGCTATTATGTGAAAAAGTACTTTTATAATTAGAGTGTCATTTTTGAAACATGAAAATTTTCTACACTTAAAAAGTAAGAATTTAAAAGTAAATGATTCTGTCATGCCCTACATCCTGATATACTCTTTCAAACAAAAAGAAATTAACTTTATAGAATGAAGATCCACAAAGAATTTCGGTTTGTCAAATGAGCTATTTTTGACTTCTGTTAGTTGAATATCTGTGAAAAACATCATGGTATAGGACTAAAAATTCTATTATTACCTCTTCACTACAGCCTCAACATAACTTGATCATTTCATGTGATTTGAATGTCCTTAGGCTAAAATCAATTTTTAAGGGGACTTTAACTAACAACGCAGATATCTCCATTGTAATATTAATATTCATAGACGAGAATAGTAAATATCATTCGTTTTCTGATTTGTAAAGTCTACTGAGAATAAGCTTACATCTTCTAAATTCCCGTCTACGACAATTAATTGCAAGGTTGAAAAAAAATTCTCTTATCATTATGAAGAAATAATACAGAGAGGTTGAGAAAAAAACTAACAAATCTATTCAAGGATAAGAAACATTAGGTATGAGCGAATGCTTAGTGAAATTTTTGTACTCGAGCATCAAACCTTACTCGAGAATAATTAGCAGTTACTTTAAACATTTCCTATAATTCTTTAGAATTTGTCCTTATTTTAAAGCTTCTGTCTGTTGAGATTTTTATCTTTTCGTAACATTTCGGTAAATTCAAAAATGTGAATGTTGACATCCAATTATCGCTGGTCGGTGAGATCATGTATGAGTCCATTGTATGGAATAAATCTTTATTTTTCAGACGTTATCCTTATTCTTGTGCGGTATTGTATACGATTGAATCACTTGTCTGCATATTGAGGTTTGTAGGAAGCGGAATATAGGAACCATGTTTCTATCAAACCTTCGATCAATTCTACATGATGACTAATTGTTGTTTTTTTCTTAAATCCATTTATTTTATGAAATAAATATTAATTCCGACAGAATTACAGTCGTTCTGATGAAACTTAAGCCTGTAGTATCCATGCACTACAAAATTAAATGACAATATTGTGACCTGAAGTTGTAAGTTCAAAAGAATGTTTCCTTGACGAGATATTGAATTCATCAAATATATAAAATTCTCGAATCTTTTGTGGAATATGAGACATTTAAGGAAATTTGATATCTCAAAGCAAGAGTATTCTTTTGAGCTGACATTTTCAGGACCTTTCAGATACAAATACGTCTATCTATAGAAGAAAATTCAGGTCAAAATGCTGCCATTCGATTCGTTTGCATTTGTCGGGCTATAGGGTAAAGTTCCTTTTCAATGTTCATAACTACGTACGAAAGGTCTAGGTGACCTTGTCCTATAAAGACTCTTAATAGTTCATTAAAGTCTATTTTATGCACGAAGTCTGAATTTTCGAGTTAAGTAGATTCACTCGTCAAATTTTTTGATAATTGATGTTCATTCACGAATTTCATAAAATTGTATTATCGAATCAGTATAACTTTCTGAATAGTATTTTTAATTCTATAAATGAACGAATGTAAAAGAAAAAGACAAAATTATATATCATTAATTTTAGTTATCATCAAATGTATCTCAGACAATTGCCAAATCTGTTCCAACAATTATCGTCGATGAATATCCTAAATCATGTCATAAATCATCAGTAACAAGCATATCGGATGATTTAGAAATATCCCATGAAGAATATGCAGTTGATAGAACAATAGAATTAGCTGCACAATTGGATTACCTTCAACGTATGTCACGTTATGAAAAATTAACAAATGAACAAGAAAAAATAGAAAATTCTCCAATTACTCAAGAAGATTCATTTATTCATACAAATTCTAATGATGATGATGAAGAATTTAAATCAACCAATGATTTAAGTATAACTCATGAAAAACATCCATCATCTAATGAAAATAATCTTGATAAATTATTAATTCAAGCTGAAGAGCAATCTCAGACGAATATCATTCATGATTCAATGATAAGAAGTAAAGATTCTATAAATCAACAGTCGACAGATTCACTTGATTATCATTCAACTGAAATTGAACCAAATCAATCATCTACTCAACGAACAACTAGTGAAAATAGTCTTCATAGTGCATCATCAATACATACTTATGATAGTCATTCTTTATCAACTTCCTATTTAATTGATAATAAAGATAATAATCAAGAAAATTTATTTGATTATGTTAAATCATTTATTAACAAACAAGTAGAAATCGTACATGAGACAATAGAAGATCAAATTAAACAAGGAACTAGTCAATCAAATATAAATGATAATCAACGAATAGATAATAGTGAAAAAGAATTTTTAACAATACAACAACATTTTCAATCAGCTTATGATTTACATGATGAAGAAAAAAGTAAACTTGTTCGTAGTCCTGAACTATATAATATGAAATATGCTAGTAAACATAATCATCGTGCATTATTAACAAATTCACAAATACAACATCGTACATTATCAGAATCAGCATTAATTACTGATGATTCAAAACATCAAAATTTATCAACAAGTAATCAAGTATCAAGTGAATTTTTAACAACAATATCGAAAGATAATTCATTAGAATCAATGCAACAACAACAACGTCTTTCGACACCATTTGATGATGTTATTGAAAAAGAATCAAGTCCAGAACATTCAGAATCATATAATATACCAATATCAGCTTTTTCTGATGCATTAGAACCAACTAGTAGTTGTCAACGTCCATTAGCATTTTGTCTATCTCAACAACAACAACAAATAATAACTGAAGCAGATTATCATAGAGTTGCAAATGATTTAGTAAATCAAGTATTACAAAATGTCATTACAGAATTGACTAGCGAACAAGATGACACATCTACAAGTAATAAAAGTGATAAATTATCTTCAAGTAGTACATCATCTGATAATGATGATGAACTTTGTGAACAAGATGATGACAATATACAAAACTTATTATCAAATTCATCAAACTTAAAAATTTTTCCTCATGTATCATTTGGAAAAGTCTTACGTCGTGCTCAAACTGATACCGAACATTTTGAGATCATTCAAAGTCCAAATGCACGAATTCCATCACTTATTCGTCGTAATTCTCAATCGGATACTGAAACATATTTTCGTACAATATCATCATCAATTGATAATTCTACACAAATAAAAGCTCCATATGATAATTCAAGTTCGGATGAAAAATCTACAAATAAAAATTCTACACTATCAATTCATCAAAATGAAAAATATTCAGGTGAAGGTGAAGAAAGTAGTGCAGGACCAAAACGAAATATACAACGAAGAAAACGTTCAAATGATACAATGAATATAAATGAATCACCTGGAGTAAAGACCCTTCCATTTAAATATGAATTTAATGATAATTTCAAACGACAAGACAGTCTTGAGTCACCATCCAAAGATTCAAATGAAAAATTAATTCTTAAAATTTTACACGAAGGAATACTTCGTACTAATTTAAAATCATTTGAAACAGATGTAGATTTCATGAATCAACAAGAAGAAAATGTTCATGAACAAATTTATTCATCAACAACTAAAAAACTTTCACCTTATTATGATTATGATGCTGGAAGTGAAGCTGAACGTGATGATTTAAAAATTTGTTCTTCTAAACATAGTGAATTTGTTTTACCAACATTTCCTAATGAATTTAATTATAATAATTTACAAAATTTTAAATCTGGTAGTCTCCCTATTATAAATGTATCATCGTCAATAGAATTAAATGAAATATCTTCTCCAATTGATATTGATATTAAAAATCTTCTTGATGATTTAATTGAATCAATAAATGATGGTTTACCAATATCAATATCAAGTGAACCATTATCATCACAATCAGATGCAACAACAGTTATATTTAATTCAAATAAAAATTCAATGGATGATGAAGAAAATCTTGAAAAATATTCTTTTGTATCTAGTCATGATTTACATCAAAATGATAAACAATGTTTAACAATACCAATATCAAGTTCATCCTCATCATCATCTCCAACGCAATCTGTGATATATTATCAGCAAGATCGTTCAGCACAAATAAAAAATAATTTAACTTCTTTTGTAAATACAAATCCTAAAAAACAATCATCAATACCATCATTTTCAAATATGCAATTAATCAGTCATAATACTAAAACAAAATTCCGCTCATATCCCGGTTCATTAGGAGGTGCTCATATACCTCCCTCTATCGAATCTCTCCTCAACGATTATTGTTCAACGACAACAACATCTACTACTTTTAAAAGTAGTAACTAACCCACGTCCTTTCCCTCTTCGTTTCTCGATATTGTCTCATTTGTCGTTCGTGTTCTTTTCTTTCCTCCTAATCTTTGTAATACTTTGTTTATTGATGCATGTAAATTGTTTTCAATTAAGATTTAATAATTAATATTTATTTCTCTATTTTAGGTAAACAACAATTTGACGAGTAATTAAACGACAAAACAGATAGACATTAAATCTTTTGTGTGTGTGTGTGCGTGCGTGCGTGCGTGCATGTGTGTATTCTTCTTTGTAAAACCTGGAAATCTCTTTTTTTTTCTGTCTTGATGTTTTGTGTGTATTACACTTAAATGAGCATAGTAGTATGAACGATTTAGAACAACAATAACGACAATACAAAATAAAATATACTAAATGGAGATTGTTTGTTTTATTTCTTGGAATAGTGTTCTGTTTGTTTTTCTCTTGTCGCCTAATTTCAATAATTAATTCTACTACTATTGCTGTTTCGATTTTCTTTCTTGTTTACTTTTGTGGTTCTACCTACACTGCCTGTTCATTTGCATTTTCATCATTTAAAAAAATGTCCCAAATATAATAGTCTATGAAAAATTTGAAAAAAAAAATTGTTTATATACATGAACAGAATAGTTCATAACAATGATAAAATGAAACATTGGATATAGAAGTTATGGTTTATGAATTGGCGAAATTGTTTTATGAATTCTAAAAGAAAAAGAAATATAAGTAATAAAGAAAAAAATATAAAAATAATCGTATTCACTTGTTGTAGTTTTGATCAATTTCGATACTAAATAAAAATTCAAAAAAGAAATTAATGTTTAATTCAAAAATTTTGACTAACAAACGAAAAAAAAACTTCTAATTTATACATTAGGTTTGGATTAAAATGAGATATTGACGTATTCTACTATGTGTTTGTCTACTTTCAAGACGATTCTTTCTTTGAATGATAATTATTTTGTAAGATAAGTATTGACCGAAACTCGTTTATTAAGCTAATTGATATATCTGATGAGTTCTATTATGCGATAAATTATCGCAAAAACATTTTGTCTATTATCTTCAAACTGAAAAAAGAATCGAAATAGTGTTACTTTCAATGAGTTGTACCTTAGCACTGGTAGCCTTTAAAAAGTTAGAGAGTTGACTTTTTTTTGCATCAACAATCTCCTTTACTGGATACGTTATATCATCGATCGTTTCGCATAGAACTGAAGGCAAAATTATTCACTATAAAGTGATATAAGCATCATGACTGTCATAATCATCAGCCATCATACATTTTTCGTTAGATAATTTGTTCTTTCGTTCCTGTTCTTATGCTATGTATTATATTGTTGAATTTTTCTTTAATCTCTCTTCTCTTTTGCTTCATTCCTCTCGAATAAAAGAAGCATCATCAGTATGTCACTATCTATGAGAGAGATAGAATCTTTTTGAAGATAAACATATATAGTATATTTGTTCTCAATTATATTTTAGAATAAAAGGAGTTTTGTTTGTAAATCTGTTTTTCATAGATATGTAGAAAATTGACATGATGTTCATAATAGCGGCATCAGATGACCCTAGGACTCTTCGAAAAATTTATAAAGTTGTTGCTCAAGATGGCTTCACAGAAGGATTTATGGGACTGAACTCGCCGCTAACCTAATCAATATTTGTATCTTGTAATCAACCTGACATAAAAATATTTATGCTTTACCTCCAACTTCAGTAATAATAGGAAAATTATACAAAAGAAATATAATTCATTGGAGAGAACGATGCTCTTTTTTAAAGATCAATACATGCATAGTCTTTCAAATGAAGGAAATAAGGTAACAACAACAAAAAAAACCATATTCCTCATTCGAAGTAGTAAGAAGTTCTTTTCTAAGTGAAAGCAACTGAAGCTCTGCAGCTTGAAACATATGGACAAAAACACATCTCTGCGTAAGAGTCCTATTTTTTAACGTGGTCTCTGACAATCTAGGAAAAGTAAGGTGTGGAAATGTGCAATTTGTTTATTAATATTTTTTCAGGAGCTGAACATCTATGCAAAGTTTCATCAGTGTCTCATATCACGTACACTGAAACCACTATACAAGTCTCAAGTACTTATATGAAATTTTGTTTGTATTGAAAAAAAATCATCCTTGATCTGTCTCAGGAGTGAGTCAAAAAAATGAATTCTATAATAACACAGTTTTTATTGTTTAATCATTTGCGACTATGAATCATTTCTGAGAGACACTACAGGGCTGAATCTTTTAACGAAAACAAGTCTATGAAAATAGTTGCAACTCACATAGATCTATTCAGTATTGAATGGTGATTAAGAAAACAATATTGATTTTACTCATGTTAAACTTAGTCTAGTTGAAATCTACTAAATATCAGTGACAAAAGGCATAAAATCATGTCTCTAGAAAAATATTCTTTACGGTTTTGCTTAGAGGTCAGTGTTTTTTTTTTCTCAATATTTTCATATTATTTTATAGTGCTCAAAAAGCACTGTCAAACTACAAGAAAACAAGCCTAACCGATCATTAAATTGATAGATTAGAAAAGATGATTATCATCAGCAGTCGGGTTCAGTATACATGCGACAGTCATGGGCTACTTCAATCTATCCAGGCTCAGTGCAAACAAGTGCTATAGGACTAATTCCACCAAAAATCACTTTCGGTCATCATTGTATGAGAGTTTGATATATAAAAAAAATCAAATCTCGTAAGGAGACTAGTTTCATCAGCTGTTGACTTCTTTCTTCTTTCTTTTCATTATAACATTGAATATTATTTATAAGTATTAATACACTTACTTGTACAGGATAAATATAATTTTCTCGATATTTCAGTGACAATGGTGCATCAGATTGATCGTTTGCATCTTGTGAGTTCACTAGTCTATAATATAATTCAGCACCTCCGAACTAAAATAAAGCTTTTTTTTTATATATAAATAAAATTTTAAATTTATTTTTTACTGTTGGAACTCTACTAATAACAGCAAGACTATCATCTTGACGAACTGGTAGTGCTTTTAAAGGTACTTTCCATCGACCACTACATAAGCGATTTTTACTATCAAATAATGCCAATTTTGTCCACGCCTTTGTTTCGAAATCCTCAGGTGGTGCTTGTTTATTTGTTGATGTTTGTACTTCAATAACAATGGTTAATGCTTGTTGTGGTGGACATCTTCAATTAAAAAGATGCATAAAAATAAAACAATGAATACATAGATAAGTTTTTAATGAACTAACCCTGGTACAGGTTGTTTAGTAGCAATGAAAGCAACATTCGTAGATCCATCAAATTTTCCCTCAGTATATTTTTCACATTTCACTGGTTCTAATTCTGATGGTTCACCAAGTCCAGATTTAGGATGATGAATAGATGTTATAAGGCGACATTGTTGAATTGTTGAAGGAAGATTAACAATAAAATCAAAAAATATAATAAAACCACCAACTGGATCATATGAATGAGGAGCAAGTGGATTACGATATTTATTTATATTTGAAGTTGAAATACGCGGAGCTGGACTTACACGTGTAATACGTTTATCCAATGTATTTAATGATTTTTGTTGATTATTTTCATGTTGATTTAATTGGTCATTGTTATTATCACGAGCTGTTCGTTGATATGAAGTATTTTGTGATGATAAATAACGATCATAATTATCAAATGAATTCGGCATGCCATTTGGTGACATTGATAATTCTAATTGTCTTGTACCTTTAAAAGAAACAACAAAAAAAAAACATAAGAGAATTTTACTTGTGAAGATAAAATCAATATGAATAATTACGTGTACTAAGTGTATCAAACTTCTTATGCATTTCTTCAAGTTCATACTGTAGTCGTTCATTTTGTTGATTAGCTAATTTTAATCCTTCAGTTATTGGATCAATTTGACGTTCAGATTCATCTATTAATAAGCATGACAAATCAATGGATGGATAAAAAACCAAAAACAAGAAGCATATGAAATACAAACATTTAATTTGTTGTAATGGTTCAGGATAATCTTTCGTCCATGGATATTGTTCATAGGCACTTAGTTGATATTCAAGATCACTATATCGTGTGATAACATTTGCATCATGACCACCGGAATGCATATAATCATTTCGAGAACTTCTAAAACCATGGTATTTACATCACACGTGTGTAGTCTCATGAAAACGTGTTTCAAATACAGCCCAACTTATTTCCATATGACATACTACATCTGTTAGCACTGATTATAAAAGTCATCGGGTCTGAGTGTTTTTTTTTCTAATTGTTCAATAAAAAAAAGTTGTTTTTAAGAGCAGGAAATGTAACTATCAGAATTTACAGTAGAGTATTTTTCTCGCTGGAAAATAAGGAATGTTTCTGATTAGACATCATTGATTAACTTAGTTTCCTTATCTGTTTTACTAACAATGAAGAATTGTGTACTATAAATAAAGGAGATTAGTAGAAATCAGATCTAATGAATACATTCATTTTTAAACTAACCATGCTAAAATACAACAGTCAGAATTTCGTCTTTTGTTTTGTAAAATTACTTTGGAATGGGTGTGATACTATTTTATATAACGCAACTCGTCGAGCTCTAGTCACCCGTAATGAAAAACAAGAAAAGAAAATAATGCTCCTGAAATTTTGAAGAGTGGCTACATGACTTAGGACATAAATTCACTGAAATTCGAATACGTTAGTCCGTGCACGTTATGAGTAATTCATATTTAAAAGTAGTTTATTTGGAAATAAGAATATTCATTGGATCCGAATAGCAATGTCAAGCATCGATATACTGCAATAATTAAGTCTAGCGTACGGAAAGCAGATTTCCTGTACATCGTATTAAATCTAACAGTTTTGACAATCAAATCAAAAACAATGAACAGTTTAATGAAATGTTAGTAGGCAAGAATAAACATCAATTTTCTCGATACTGAACAAGCAAAAATAAACGACAGGGGTATTAGCGAGGAACTACTAAAAACAAGTCTCTTCATTCTCGTCAGCTGTAAATGTCCAAATGTTTTGAAAAACACTTAAATTAAATATTTCGTTAATTTTTCTACCTGACATTATCACCAACTGCTCGTCGTAATCGACTAGTAGCATATGGTAAAGATGATGTAGTGCTGACAGTTGATAAATGAACTATTCAATAAAAAGAAACACAAAATTATATTTATAAATAAATAAATACCCATTTGTATAGATAATACGTCCTCGTAGAAAGTCTAAAGCTTTCTCATTAAGTTCTTGTTGTTCTTTCATTTCACGTAAAACTCTATATGGATCATAATTTGACATTCTTGTTGGTTGATAATTAGCTGATATTAATTCTTCGAGTTTTTGTTGAATAACTAAATGATACATAAAGAAAGACTACTTATAATTAAGTATCTCCTTTTGCGGGATTTCTGGAACGAAAAATGATGAAACTTTGAAGATGAATAGATCTCGATAAGTAGAGCAAAAGTTGTTATAGACTCAACATTCTCAGATACTTTATTCAGAGACATATAGCGATCGCACATATCAATGATGACTAGAGATTTTCTCCTTCGTAAAACTCTATGCTTCATTTTTTTTCGAGCAGTTTTAACTCGAATTCAGATACAGATTTCAATAGTCAATGCAGTTCTCCGTAGAATGTATTCCATACCGAAATTTCATGGATGGTATATCAGAGAAAGATTTCTGAAACCCCTTATTTTAGTCAGAAATTTGTACTCTTTTAGATGGTACTGTTCAAAACTAAATTTTCCGAAGTCTTCTGGGACCTAATAACTATCATATTGAGTTTTTCAGAAATCGTTCTCTCATAGACCATCTATGAAACGTTGTTATGGAATGCATCAGAAAGAGAACTTCATTAACTATTCAAATTATTATTTGAATTTACGTTAAATGCTTGATATCGTAGAAAAAAAACAAGTATACGTTACCCTTATATTATAGTCCAGTACTGTAAATTAGGACTTTTTTCTCTAACAACGTCAAGAGCCCTCAATCGTATCGCATTTGACAGAGGATACTTCGAAGCTATATAATCAATGAGAGGATTTTAATTTTCACATCCAGAAAGTGGAAGAGAGGAGGGGATCTTCGCAGAGAAAAATATAGATTTACTTCGACGTTCTTGTTCAAGACGATGATTTCTTCGTTGTAATTCTTCAAGACGATCGTTTTGATTATCAGTTAATTGATTCGTTTGCTTAAGTGTATTATTAAGATCTTTCACTGGTTTAGATTCGATTTGCAAATTATACATTTGACATAAAACATCTTGTTCTTGCTTTTGTAATCGTTCGTACTTTAAAGAAAAAAAAAATATATTTAAATAACAAATATATTATTTATCAAAGTAAAGAAAAATATGAGATCTTGTTTTTCTTTTCTTTGCATTATATTTTATTAAAGAACAAATAATAAAATAAATATTTAATTATTTTATTTTTCATGTAATTAAATATCACTTTCTTACTTCAACAAGAATTTCATGATAAATATCATCTTGTTTTTTCGTATAATCCATAAGTTTTTGTGATTTTTGTTTATTATCTAATATTTGATCTTCGATATCTTCGACCATTTCACGCATTGAACGTTGTAATTTCCATTCATTAATTTCTTCTATTTTCTATGAAAAATTTGAAAAGATTAATATAATTTGTTTTATAATTATATATATATATGTATGACGAAGTAAAAACGAAAAAAAAACATATCGATTACTGTCAAGATAATTTTAGAACTTCACTAGTAAATAAAAAAAAGAAATTCTAGAACTGAATTTTGCTATTAATATTGAATTTCTTGATGTTTTCTTAATTTACAAAAATAAATATTCAATATAAAACTTACTTTTTTCGTAGGTGTTTGGTGTCGAATAACTTTTCTTATAGTTGGTTTCTTATTATCATTATAATCTTCATAACTACTATTATTATCTATTTCTTCATCATCTGAATAAACAGGTTTTCGTCCGATACCAGAATCTTTAACACCAATACAAAATCTTGTTTTATGTTTAAATAAAGCTTCATCTGATGGAAATACTATTCCACATTGATCACATTTATATTTTCGTTGATTTGACATATCAGGTGAATTATCTAAATACTGTAATCGTTTTTGTGGTGATACAGATAAATTAGATATTGTAGAAGATTTTTGCAACACTGACGTTGTTCTTGGCACTCGTGATGTTACTGGTAAATCCCATAATTTCTTAGAATCAGGAATAAAATTTAATCGATTATATTCAAAATTATTATCTAGTTGATTGGAATTTTTCTCAGGGGCAGTTGATGTATTTTTACCTAAGATATAAGATGATGAATCAACAGTAGGTTTTATTCCTTGAGGTTTAGTTATATTTCGAGATGGCTTAGTAGATGATGTTCCCATTGAATAGCATTTGAAATTTTCATAACCTTTACTTTTTAATAATAAAACATTTGAATATTATATTCATTTTTTTTTTTTTCTTTTTCTTTTTATTCTTGTAATTTAAATGGAAATGATCTCAATTCATTTACTTACTTTCACGTTAAAATACAATATTCTGTTGAAGTACGTTATAGACTTTGATGTTATGGTAATACTTCTTTTTATATAATATGTTGTTCGAGTGTATGATTCTTTTCTTATTCAAAAAAACAAATTTAAATTTTTTTTCTTTTCTTTTCGTCTTTGGCAACAACAATAACATACCTTTGGAGGAGTTCAAGATGAGAAAAGGAGCCACACTGTGTTTCACGATCAAAAAACACAAAGAAATGCCATCTAAAGAAAAAAAAAAGACTTTTTTTAATGACATTTGCATTTATTATTTTCAAATAAATATGAAAAAGAAAATAAAAGAAAAAATGAAATCTTGTCTTGTTTTCAAGTGTTAATCTTTAAACAACATACGTTTTTCTGATTAAATTTAGATGATATTGTGTCTTTAAAGAAAAATTTATTGTCTTAAAATGTGTGTTTGTCTTCAAAGTAGATTGTTATAAAACATTAATGCGTTTCTATACTACAACGCATGCACTTAATTGAAATGTTATTAAGAAGAAATAAAAAGTACATTTTGACTTACTACGAACCATTAAAATTTAACATCGAAATTTATAGTATTTTGTCTTTTGTTAAGAATGACTTTGTTATGTACTAGAATAAATGGAGTCAACGGCTTATAATTTATGAATAGATGTTTTTATCAAATAATTACTAGTATGAATTAATGTTATTTTTAATATTTGTTAATGATAGAAAGACTATGATGCGAGTGAAGCATAAAAGACAAAAGCATATATTGGGAATCTTAGTCTATTTCTCTATATTGGTACAACGACCTGGCTAGCCACAATATTTTGTCAAGCAAAACACGTCCATTTTTTACATGAGTATTGTTTTATAATGCATTTGCTATTACAATTACATGTAAGATCAATTGTTGAATCCTATTCGTACATTGTTTTTTTAATCAGATTGTAACACGTACATCTATATTTATACTGCTGATCAACGCAACCGCTTTGACTAAAACATTCTCTTTTTTTTATATTTCACTTTATTTCTAGTTGAATTTCAATTTTTCCAGGACAATTCAGGCATTAAACGAGTTTTAGTTTTGTCCCTAACGCATATTTAACAATGGTATTGAAGCCTTAGAAAACTTCTTTTACATGAACTTGTTTGATTTGACTAGAAGTTTGATAAAGAGCGCTAGCATTTATTATGGTTTCCTACTTTTTTTTTTTCGACAAACATCGTTATTATTGTTGAGTACCGAATGCATTTAAATGTAGAAAACAAAATGAAAATGCATATTTCAAAAATAATATTTTCTATCGAAAGTTACTAACGCTAAAAATGAGTGAAAATAATGCATCGCTAATGATATTTTTCTGTACTTTCCAATTCTTACTAAGCCAACATTTATCTTAGAATAATTAATGCGATGTAAAGCATACAATTTCTGTAACTAATCGCGTACGCATTCGGTCTCCATGCTTTGCATGGTTTTTGCTCTGAGAAAATCTTTAATTTGGATTGCGATGTTGTAAAGAACGGCGAATTGTTAGAAACTCGTTCGCACTATATCAAAACAATTTGACTCTAGATGAAATCGTTGCCTGTTCTTATGTTAATTGAAAACTCATTGTCGACAATTGAGATCGCTTTGTGAGTTTTCGTATTCTTTTTTTACTTACCAAATATAAGCATCAAAAGTTATTATTTTCTGTTATGATGATCTCGAGAACAAAAAGGCATTAAATACGCAGATAGACCTTCTTCAAAACTTTCACGTATCTTTTAAAGAGTCTTATCTGATTGAATACTATTTCTCTTCAAATGTACCTGTACTATTTTCATTGGTAACTGTCGATTTGATTTATGTCAACGGCAATAATATACTGTTCGAAATAATTACAACAATGCCATCGACGAATATAAAATGTGAACAATTTTGTGATATCGTACAACTGTATTTTTTAATTTTTGAATCAAACGAAAAATTTTCATGGAGTTTAAATATACTCTAGATAAATGAGAATACAACTCTTTACAATAACGAAAACAAGTTTTACAGATGCATGTTAGGCATACTTTGCTTGGATTATCTGTGCTCTAGATGATTTATTTCCATACAAAAAATGATAGATTCTTTACAACTTATTTAATGGTTTACGGTTAAAAATAATGTTTCCAACATAAATAGCACCAAATTTTGTCAAATCCATTCCATCATATGTTATTAATTTTCCATCACGAGTAAAAAGAGGGCATGTCTGATTATATCTAGTACAGATCATTTTTTGTATATTGATAAATATTGATCTATCTATTGTTCGTTCTAATAACCTATTGATTTCGATAACGTCTATATTTGGATACTGATATTGTTTAAATCTATATTGAGTTGATTTATTAACATATAATCTTGGATTAATTGTACCAAAATTTTTCAGTCCAATAACAAATATTTGTTGCTGTTTTGTTAAATTTAATAATTTTAATGTCATTGGTAATCGTTCAGCAGCCCATTTACGCCAATAACTAGATAAAATAATAACATCAGCTTGATGAATATGTGGTAAAGCATATTTAATGTCATAATCATTTGCACATGTTTGACGATACTCTGCTTCAATAAATTGTTGTCGATCTTCGGAACCTAAATAAATTTGACAATGTACATCAACAAAATGCACAAGAATATCATAATTGACCAGATGCTTTCCTTCATTAATAATATTATAAAAGTCGTGTGCAAAACTATCACCAATCAGCATCAGTCGTTTGTTTGTTGTTGATGTTCGATTTGAAAATGTGTTTTTTTCCTCTCTTAAGGCTTTGAATGCTCGTTGAACGTATTGATAATTACCATTTTTTATTAAATCAGATAGATAAGAATCATTTTCTTTGTTCAGTAGTAGTGTTCGATTAGTTGCAGTTTGAATAAGAAATAATGCGAGAATAAGTGTTATTATAGCACTTACACCAGAAGCAAAAAAAATGTGTTTTCGAGAAAAACGTTTTTTATTACGAAATGGTTGTTCAATGAAGGTATAGCTAATACAACTAAGTGCTAAAACAATACAGACTACAATCAACATGAGTAATATTTGCGGTATATTGTGATATCGCAGATGAATAAAAATGATTAAAGGTTGATGCCAAAGATAAGCACTATAAGAAATGAGACCTATCCAACGTAATAGACGTTGAGAAAGTAGTTGTCCAACTAATGTCTTCTGTCCAAATAAAATAATTAATGTCGCGCCCAACGTGGGTACAAGAGTATAACAGTTGGGAAACGGAGGAATGTGCTTAGCATCAAAGAAAAGAATTGATATTATGATCATTACAAGTCCGATGAGGGCAAACAATTGATTACATTTGTTCGATGAAGTTATACTAAACGTTGAAAAATATTTAAAATATTCAATTTAGAATGTATCTTTTAGAGAAAAAATAGGTTAATGATTAGTGAGCTGCAGATATTGTTCCACAAAATTGTGAAACTATAACTGACTATTCACTATGCCTTTTAGATCTATTGAATCATAGAACAAGCAGTGAATTCTCTGGAATGGTTCTAAACGGCGTGCCGAACATTATTAGATATAATAGTTTACTTATTATTTTGCCATCTTAAAATGAAAAACTATTTGCTAAAGGTTAAATTTAGTATTAATTCTGAATATAATCTGAAAAGGTTTGTATTCGATTTAGGTTATGAGTAAATTTCTGAAATAGTCGAAAAAAAAAATTTGAATCACACTAAATTCAATTTTTGTTAGTTGTCATGTCACTTAGCAAAAATGCTTAAATTTCAAGACTCCATAGTTTAGTAGATTGAACCAAGTCTTTTATCAAAAAAAGCCATAAAGGATTTCTCAAGAACAAGTTTCTACTCAAAACAGATCGTTTGATAGAAAAATCGGTTTTTTGAAAAATCACAATCACATAGAAACGAAAATTTTGACATCCTATTAAACAAGGAAACTGAAATAGTACATTTTGTAAAACAAATTATTCTCTGCAATCTGATATAATACCAAACGTTCGAACGTCCATGTTTAAATACTATGACTACAATAAGAAACAATCAGTTGTATAATAATTCTTTTTGAAAAATTTTTCTTCTCAGAGATTATCTCATTACTCTTGATGAAAATTTGATAGAAAATATCTGAAATCATATTTGAAGAGAACGCACAATCATAGTTGTAACTCAGTCTTTATCATTTATGTAGATAAAAAAAAATAAACAAACATTGTGTTTAGAAACGATCAACCTGCCAGTTATCACTGAAATATATTCTTATTTAATTCTTTACGACATCGATATGTCTAAGTAAATACCTGGTTACCTAAAATGGTAAACTTTTAAAGTAGTCCATTTTCTCCAGAAGAAAATCATTAGAACGCGTGCCATCACAAATTCCTATAAGGAATGTCTCTTCTTTATAAATTTTAAAAAAAAGTCCGTTCTCATGATTTTTTTTTCCCTAAGTTAATTGAGACATGATTAAACTAAATTAATGAAATAAGTTCAGCTTTTGTTTTGTCTGTTCCCGTCAAATCTATCGACATCAAAGAGCAAGTAATTAATATAAAAACTTTTGTATTTTTTTTGGCAACTGAATTTAGCAAGATAAATAAAAGATGTACATTAACATACCTGGCTGAACTGTTATGTCGTAAGTAGAAAGCAGCAAAACAGCCGAGTAATAACTCCCATACTCGTCCCATAGGTAAGTAATATGATGCCCATGAGTGTTGAAAAAACATATGAAAATGACGATGGGAAACCGATTGGAAGTTACCACCCCATTGAGCAAGAAAAAAACTCAATAAAGCCAAAAATATCAGTAAAATGACAAGATGCCGTTTTTTCTTTCCAGAAAAATAACATATTACTGGAAATACCAAATAAAATTGTTCTTCAGCAGCTAAACTCCATGTGTGAACAAGAGGATTTAACTCAGTTAATCTTGTAAAACGGCGATTGTGTTTCCACCAAAAGAATATATTTGATGAAAGAGTAATTATAGAAATTAAAGTTTGTCCAAAGTCCTTTAATTGATCAGGTGACATCCAACAATAAGCAAAAATACTACTAATGAGTAAAATAAAAAATAGTGCAGGGAGTATTCGACGACAACGTCGTTCATAAAAATGAACAAGTGAAAAATTTCCTTTTTCACGTTCGTTCTCAATGACAGATGTAATTAGATAACCACTTATCACAAAGAATACATCAACGCCAATGTAACCTCCAGCGAAAGACGAATGGTGACCAGTGTGAAATAAAATGACTGGAATAATTGCAAGTGCCCGTAGTCCATCAATCTCGTCTCGATAAAATGACATTATAGTTAACGAAAAATATGAGAAACTAATGTATTAGTCAAATGGCATATCCAATATTGTGTATAAAAGAATAGACTATCACCGATGCATTTAATTGATAGCACAATGAAACAACAAAATAAAATCGTTGTCTTTCCTTTCAGAGATACTTATGAGTATTGAACCGTATGCTCGTAATCATTATTAGTATTTCTAATTGAAATCTAAAACAATGTGTACATGTAAACTTTGTTTATATAAGCAAAATGTATATATACATTTTGTTTTCATGGCAATGTGCATAAGCAAAGTGTCATAAACTATAAACAAACTAAACAAAAAATATTATTCATATCATTTTCCTAAACATAAATGCAGTTTTTATTTCGTAAATCGCCTTCTACATAAAGCTACAACGTTTTTTTAAATTTAAAATAGTTACTATTGTCAAGAGTAGAATTTTCAAAAATAGAAATATCCGAGAACGAATTTTTATAATGTCCAAAGATACAAATGTTGGAACTGATAGTGTCTGAAAAAAGAAAATTCCATGATTTTCACTTTTACCTCAACATTTTGGTTTCTCAGTAATCATGATCGTAACAAAAAATGTAGACCATTCAGGACACTACTTATGAGATTGTATGCTCCTTGTTAAAATTCATTTTTCCATTTCCATTAAAAAAATTTTTCGAGTAATAGTGCATAATATATGAAGTTCAATAAATATTCTTGGTTAATAGAGTTTTTCGTTCCACTTCCCAGTCAGACAAAACTCTTTAAGAACGAGCTCAGATTTCGATAAAATATCATTTTAACGCTTAGTTATCATTACAATATTGTTTTAACAATTTATTTCACTGTGTATAACGCGATATAAATTTCCGATCATGTTACAACATGTCAGATTGTCTTAGATTTGCGCGTTGTTATCATTTTTCAGCGTAAATTTTCACCAGTTTGATATATTTGCCGATTCAGTTGTCTTAGAACTAGGGATGTGCCGATTCCAACTCTTAGCACACTGGTCGGAATTCCTTAGAACTGGAATTGGTGCATTTCTACTTAGAACCACTGAAGCTCTTGATTTTTTGTACTGTCTTTAATAAGTGACAAAAATTATAGAAGATTATATGATAGAAATGTGACAAAGAATACATCTAGAATAATATAAATTAATGTTTAATATTGTTAAAAAAGAACAACACGCGTAACAATAAGGGAAAGAAAAAGTAATTGCTTTTTTGAAGGCCGTTGTAAACAATAAAACTTGTTTTGAGTAAAAAAGAACGATTGAAGCGTAACTACCTGTGTATTTTCTCTACTATATCGCTTTTCTGTCTATTAAGAACTGAATCCACATAATTCGCAGTAAATGACATTCTCGACCAATCGCATAAAAAGTTTTTCGATGAGTCGAAAAGTTGTACAGCATATTCAAAATAACATTGTCTACTTAGACCAGTAAAAAAAATATAAGTTCATTAGGAAAAGATTACATTAAAGAAATTAAGGCATTTATGGTGTGTTTTGCCTGACCTCTATTAACCATGTGTTTTAAGTTTTGATGAGTGGTGACTTCTTTACAATCATATAGTGCATCGAATATTCTGTTTCTGAATGATTTTGATTCTTATTTCGTCGTCATCTTGGGAAAATATTTCAACTCCTTAAAATGTGATTTAAATGATCAATATAATTCGTGGTGCAATTAGAAAACTTTACATATGTTAAACTATTTCCAGGAGCGAATAAGAGATCTTTTCATTTGTGAGAGAGCGAGATTATTTTCTTTGAGTGATCTAAAAGTTATCGATTAGATCGTGTCAAAAAGGTTATCAACATCATTTTGATCGAAAGTTCAGTGGGACATCTGTCTGAAGTAACGATTCTTAGTTTCTGCATTGAAGTAGATGTGCTAGACAGAAGGTTGATGTTTGATTAAAAGCAATAAACCGATTGTCACTGTACAATTGAATGAACGAGAAGAAAATACCTAGCCTTTTTTCTCGAACAGCTCAGAACATTCATGACTATTTGTTATCACAAAGAGTATTTTTCAACATTTCTTTAACACGTGTTTGTAATGAAAACCTCAGTCAAACAGTTCTTCCGAATTTCATTCTCAGAGCATAATCATTGCAAAATGACGAATTATATTTTTCTGTTGTCGAAAAGATGGATTGTTATTACTCATATTGATTTTATTATGATTGAATATCACTTAAGTATGAGAATAAATCGTATCATAAATTTATGTAATGGTCAATGTGCTACATATTATGATATATTTTAATATAGCTCTTCAGTCCAGTAGTATTAAATATCAGTACTTAAGTATATGAGTCTCCTTCAAAATCCGTCCTGCACCTCAACGTGGTGAAGGAGTGAACATCTGAAGTAAGGGACTGCCCGTCCAGGCTATACCATCAGTGATGAAGGTTCTACCGAAGAATCACCAAGAGCGCTACGCAAGGTGGACAGGTTGAGCGTGAACCCCGAAAAACAGATGGCCAACGCAGGCGGTTAAAGCTTGGGCAGCAGCAAGCCTTTACAACGCCAATCAACGGATGATCATCGTACAACGGCTGATTGGCAAACAACAGAGGTCAGTAATCATCAAATGATGAACACCCTCTGTACTGCGAGATGGAAAGTCACAGGGAAGCTACCATCTTAACACTCCCAAACAGCATGGTGAACAAGGAACAGTTATCATACCGGCTCGGACGTCGCCCGGGTCAACAAGGTCCGCGTCCCCTGTCGGGCAACCAGGACAGGGTCGAAAAATGGGTGACTGGAAGAAGAAGAAGAGGAAACAACGACAACAAGCAAACAAACAACAACAACAAGATTACAACAATTCCATCGACATCAATCCAGCTACGACAGAAGTTAAGAATTGGCACTTGGAATGTCCGAAGCATGCTACAACTAGGAAAAATGTGTATACTAGAACAGGAAATGGAACGACTAGGGGTAGACATATGCGGACTAGCGGAGATCAGATGGGAAGGACAAGGACACTTCAATACAACGAAAGGCCATACTGTCATCTATTCAGGAAATGAAAAACGTGGCCTGCATGGCGTAGCAATATGGATACATAGGAAAATAGCTAAAGCAATTATAAGCTATGAACCAGTCAACGAACGTATGATGGTTGTAAGACTGAATGCAAGACCAAAGAACATCACATTAGTTCAAGTATACGCACCAACAACAACAGCTGAAGAAGAAGTCACAGCAACGTTTTACGAAGAATTGGAACGTGCAAGCAAGAAGATCCCCAAAAATGACATCATGATGATGATGGGAGACTTCAATGCAAAGGTAGGGAAACAAAACGTAATCAGCCCAGCCGTAGGTCCATTTGGACTAGGTGAGGCAAATGATGCAGGAGATCGTTTTAGGGAATTCTGCGAAGAACATGAATTGATACTGGTCAACACATGGTTCAAAAAACATCCAAGACGATTATACACATGGAAATCACCTGATGGCAAAAGCAGAAACCAAATTGACTACATCACAATCAATCAAAAATGGAAAACCAGCGTAATGGACTGCACAACCTATCCAGGTGCTGATTGTGATACAGATCATCATTTGCTAGTCGCAACAACAAGGATCAGACTACGCAAGGTACGCAAAAAAAACGAGACGCCGAAACTTAACGTGGAAAAACTAAAAGAAGAAAAAGCAACAGCGTTTGCCATTACAGTAACAAACAGATTTACAACACTAGGTGAAATTGAAGAAGACACAACACCAGATTTATTATGGAAGACAGTGAAAACAGTTTTGATGGAAACAGCCAGAGACATTGTCGGCTACAAGAAACAAGAAAAGCACAAATCATGGATATCAGCACAAACGATGGAAATGATTAAAGAACAACGAGAAATGAAACAGAAAGATCAAACAAAATACAAAAAATTGAAAGCAGAAGTACAAAAGAAACTACGCCAGGACAAGCAAAATCAATTGAACGAGTTATGCAATGAATTAGAAATGGAAAACAAAAAAGGCAATACAAAGAAACTCTTTCAAACAGCAAAAAAAATTACAAGAAAATTCCATCCAAGACTTAACTGTATAAAATCAAAAACTGGCGAGAACATCACCGAGACTGAAAAAATTGCAGAACGTTGGAAAGAATATTGTCAAGAACTATATGAAGAAAAAGACAACACAATTAATTGGAATTTTCAAATCGACGAACAAGAGCCACCTCCTCTAATATCAGAGGTGGAACGTGCAATAAAGGACACAGCAAGCCAAAAAACACCAGGCCCTGACGATGTATCTGTCGAACTAATCAAGAATGGTGGAGAATCGACGATTAAACTAATGCATCGAATTTGTGTAACAATATGGAAGACTGGAAAATGGCCAGAAGACTGGACGGACTCTTTATTTATTCCACTGCCCAAAAAAGGAGATTACAAACAATGTTCCAATTATAGGACAATTGCACTTGTTTCACACGCGAGTAAAATTATCCTCAGGATCATTCTGGAAAGAATCCGAATGAAAACCGAAGAAGAAATTGCAATCGAACAAGCGGGATTTCGACGTGGACGAGGAACTCGAGATCAAGTAGTTAACCTAAGATTATTACTAGAAAAGGCACACAAACATCAACAAACAGTTTTCATGTGTTTTATCGATTTTAAAAAAGCATTTGATTCAATATCTCACAATAAGCTATGGACAACAATGATGAAAATGGGCTATCCACCACATCTGATTCATTTACTCGCGGAGTTGTATCAAAAACAAAATGCGAAGGTGAAAGTGGCAGGTACCGTTTCAGAAAGTTTTCATATCAAGAAAGGCGTACGACAGGGATGTGTAATATCACCTTACTTATTCAACATCATAGCTGAAATGGCTATGCGAGAAACATTGGAAGACTTTACAGGTGGTATCCAAATCGGTGGTCAAGAAATAACAAATCTTCGTTATGCAGATGACATTGTTCTTACAACACAATCCATGAACAAACTTCAAGAACT